TAGTGTGCATGACACCTCGTGTGTAACATATGAAATTTTTAAGCAAGGTGAACAGTGAAGATTAACAAAGTACGTAAGAATTTTCACAACCTTGATATTAACCTTGACATAACCTTGACATATCAAGGTTATGTCAAGGCCAACAACATACGAAATTTTTAAGCAAGGTGTTCAAGTTCAACGAATGATTCGCAAAGCTAATTTAATAAATAATAATCGTGTTAAAGGACGTAAGGGATATGTTTGTTAGAGAAATATGAAGAATATTATCAATAAGAAACTCACCCATTAGTTGTAAAATCCACTTCATGCACGGAAATGTGTGCAGGAGGATAGTGCATTGACCTCGTACAATGTATGATGAACTGCACAGCTGATCTGTATCCGACGGCGACGAACAGAAGGATATCTCCGGGCAGGCAATTTCAACGTTTACTTTCACTGCATTATTACTAAACACTGATCACTTATCAATAATATTTATGGACCAACTTTCCTGGGTTAATATGTATAGCTCTGAAAAGAGCCGATTTTTTTATGCGACGCGTTCGAAGTTCTCACTGTTATCGACACGTATGTACCGCGTTGTCGAGATGAACTGCAGAAGACTGGCACGATGGCCGACTGTGTTTCGTTCTCCTACGAGCGAATTTCAACTGTTTTCCATCGAACGCGAACATTGTCAGCCATCGTGCTAGTCTTCCGCAGTTTATCCCGTCAACGCGGTATGTGTTCTTAACGATATGAACTTCGAACGCGTCGCATAAAACAATCGGCTCTTTTCAGGGCCATACATATTAACCCAGGAAAGTTGGTCCATAAATATTATTGATAAGTGATCAGTGTTTAGTGATAATGCAGTGAAAGTAAACGTTGAAATTGCCTGCCCGGAGATATCCTTCTGTTCGTCGCCGTCGGATACAGATCAGCTGTGCAGTTCATCATACATTGTACGAGGTCAATGCACTATCCTCCTGCACACATTTCCGTGCATGAAGTGGATTTTACAACTAAATGGGTGAGTTTCTTATTGATAATATTCTTCATATTTCTCTAACAAACATATCCCTTACGTCCTTTAACACGATTATTATTTATTAAATTAGCTTTGCGAATCATTCGTTGAACTGTGTTCGGACACGGAATTATTTAAATTAAAATATCATTTACGTACTTTGTTAATCTTCACTGTACACCTTGCTTAAAAATTTCATATGTTACACACAAGGTGTCATGCACACTAGAAAATTAAAACGGCCGTCACGGTTAAATTACTTACTATTTCGGGTCCGAAAAATTAGTAAATATTCTTCAGACGTTCTAAAGTAAAGGTGAACAGCGTTTTTCTTAAAAATATCACTGTTACGTAGTAAAAAAAAATCCGGAAAGTTCTCGTTTCGTGATTTGTTCAATACTTCGAACACGGCTCGAGTCCGTCCCGACCATCTGTCAAAGCCTCGTGCTGCGGGCTTTCGAACTTCGCGCCGTCACCTCTCATTGGTCAGTGTTTTCCGTTAATAACTCGTAAACAAAGCCGCAGATCGTATTTTCGCAAAGGAAAAAGTTACTTCAAATGACCTCAGCTACCCCTCAGTTTCGGCTGTTAAAATAATTGTGGAACACCCTGTATAATCAATTCTATTCCCTCGTCGATGAAACTCGTAAAAACAGTAATTGTTCTGACTACAATTTTCAAAATTCAATCGTCATTCAAATATATTCGAACGAACGGAGTTTTACATGTTCGCGATGCAAGATAGTTAAGGTTATGTCATTCGCCCGGACAAATGTTTCAGTTTCGTTAATCAAAAATTACTTGGATCTCGTGGCAGTTTTTCGTGGCTTACCGTGTCGGCGAATCGTTGAATCCGATGACAGAGAAAGTCGAATATCGGCGGATAATCGGTTCGATGCTGTCCGTTCATTGAGAACACGGGTAAACTTGCGTGCGACAACGAACTCACGTGTGTAGCACCGGTAACGTGTCGCGACCGAGTAAACCGGTTTCGGCACGCGAAGAAGCACGGGCTTCCTATTATGTACTTAGACGCGCACTAACTTGTCCCCGCGTTATAATGACCGCTGAAACATTCGTTATTTTCAACCCACGCTCTTCTTGCCCCGTCTAGGTCACCTCCAGAACACTGTACGACAACGCCGTGCCCGCCTGGCAAGGTGTTTACGCAGTTCTGCATTTCTGCGTCGCACTTTTCTGTCACCTACAGTTGTACGACGCCGAGGTAAACAATTCAACGTTTTGACCTTTCGCCGCTAGACTGCGGATTTTACGTTTTACGTCTTACGTTTTACGTATTTATGGAAAAAAACGTGTAGTTGAAATCTAGCAATACGCAAGGTGTCCCAAGAATGTCACGTAATCCGGAAATAGAGGGTTCTTGAGGTCACTTGAAGCAACTTTTTCCTTAACGAAAATGCAATCCGCGGCTTCGTTGACGCGCGATGGCCGAGCCAATGAGCGGGGCCGAGCTTCGCGCGCTCATTGGCTGGGCCGCCTCGCGCGCTCGTTGGCGCTCGGCCATTTCGCGCCAGCCGAGCTCGCCTCTCATTGGTCGGCGCTTTTCGTTAATAACTCGTAAACAAAGCCGCAAATTTAATTTTTGTTAAGGAAAGAGTAACGTCAAATGGTCTCAGGAACCCACCATTTTCTGATTGCGAGACATTTTTGGGATATCCTGTATTTAAAATAGTAGAAAAATTGAAAGAATTTAGAAGCGTCGCTGTATCGTATTGAAGACTATGAATTTGGAAAGACTATAAAAATTTAACGATTTCAATTTAATTTCATATGCAACATCCCCATTCAACTTGTTTAAAACAAAACTATAAATTCTAAGCAGAACATTAATTTGCAATTAACGGTGACGATCCTTATCTTGCATAAAAATCCGCGGTCTACTAATAATACTTCGCGTTCTAACGTACGTTGAAAAAATTCGAATGTAATACAATTCAAACGAACGTGCACTCGAAATCTGACTATTTTTCAAAGAATGCTTGTTTAAAAAAATCTAAAGCTCCGAGGAAAGAAAAAGCTGAGTATGCATTTTACATATTGCGATCCATTTGTCGCGTTAATTAATTCGACGTGACGTAAGCTAAGTGATGTACATACAGGGTGGTCCGCCCGAAGCATAAAAAATACACGGAAATCGGTCTCGAGATCGTCGAAAAAAAAAATATATAGAAGTTATAGGCGGATCAGCCTGTATGGAATGGAATGTAGAGACCGTGATTTTGCAGGGCACGAAGACAATGCCGGCCGGTTGGACGATCGCGAACAATCTGTTCGCGTTGACAACGATCGGGCTGCTGTTCGATAAATCGAGGTACGCCAGCGTGATGGAACTGATCCGATGCATCGTTTATTTAAGTTATTCAACGGTATATAATTCAATAAATGTATACATATATTCTGCACACGTTGCATCCTGTTGCGTTTGGGTATTATATTTCCTTAGCGAAATAAGATCGTGCCTAAGAACCGTGAGAACGTAATAGAAATGCCGTCCGGCAACCGCTACCACGCCGAACAGAAACAGTTTTCTTTTTCTCTCTCTTTTGTGTGTGCGTTAATCGATGTTATTATTGTCCTGTTGCCGCATAATATAATTTTTACAGAAAATCCGACAAAGTCCGCTACATTGTGTGTGTTTGAACAGCGAGATGTTGTGCGATCCGACCAGTGAAATTGTAAAACCGTCCGATCGAATCCAATCGACTTACCGCTTCTTTTCTGTTCTTTTTTATTTTTTTTTTATTTTTACTTACCGTTCTTCGGGCAACCCTTAAACGATTCGCGAACGATCGTGGACGACCGAATCGCGAAATCCGAGAGGATGTCGACGCCGTACGCGCGTGGACGGTGAACGCGGCCCGGCGAATTCGGAGCCGCCATTTTGTCGGGCACTCGCGGTCGCGGCGTTCGCGCGGTCAAATAAAAAACAATGATGAATTCGTGTGACACTGAGCAATTNTGCGATTCCGCTGCGAGACCGGCGAAGAAACGGCCCACGTTTCTCTCGGCGATGTAACTTTTCTCCGTTAGCCGAACTCCGTTTTATGTTACGTTTCGCGAATGAAATCGATGTCGCATGCCTTCGGTTCCAGGTCGGCATCCTTTTATTTCTGGTCGGAGCTTCGTTGTTCTTCTACCGCGATAATAAAAAGCGGTTCTCGTTCGAGAACGCGAGAGGAGGGAGACGCATTCCGTAAATTCGATTCAGATACCATTAAGAGACGGATGACGCCGGTGTACGTATACTGTAAAGTTGTTCAAGAGTAACATCGTATTCGGTCACGTTGTTATACCACGTAACAAAGATCTAGTCAATTGCTTGTTTAGCCGATACTCTATATTTATTAGCTATATTTCTCGATCGATTTGTTTCGGAGATGCTCCAACGATGAAATCGACATGAGATAATACATTTACTGATCAATAAACACCTGTGGGACGTTTATAAGCAAACCCGTCGTTCTATCGCTGCCCCTGTCACATCGATCGTTCTTATTTCGTTTCGCCGGGCAACCCTCGAACGCGACCCACGTCGATCATATTCGACCAACGATTTTTCGCGAGCGACGATCGTGTTCTCTCATCTTTTTTCTCTCGAATCGTCGGAGAAGGAACGCCGCTTCGACGCCGGAACGCTCGAGCCCGACAAAATGGCGGGCCCGAAATTCCACGATCATCGAGACCGCGAACACGCTCTTCCGAATCATTTCCAGATCATTTGTATATACGTATATAATCTATATGTATATATATATACATATAGATTTATATAGCATTATTTATTTATAAAGAAATTTCGATCGCTAAATACATATATATATATATATATATATATATGTATTTAGCGATCGAAATTGCTATATAAATAAATAATGCTATATAAATCTATATGTATATATATATACATATAGATTATATACGTATATACAAATGATCTGGAAATGATTCGGAAGAGCGTGTTCGCGGTCTCGATGATCGTGGAATTTCGGGCCCGCCATTTTGTCGGGCTCGAGCGTTCCGGCGTCGAAGCGGCGTTCCTTCTCCGACGATTCGAGAGAAAAAAGATGAGAGAACACGATCGTCGCTCGCGAAAAATCGTTGGTCGAATATGATCGACGTGGGTCGCGTTCGAGGGTTGCCCGGCGAAACGAAATAAGAACGATCGATGTGACAGGGGCAGCGATAGAACGACGGGTTTGCTTATAAACGTCCCACAGGTGTTTATTGATCAGTAAATGTATTATCTCATGTCGATTTCATCGTTGGAGCATCTCCGAAACAAATCGATCGAGAAATATAGCTAATAAATATAGAGTATCGGCTAAACAAGCAATTGACTAGATCTTTGTTACGTGGTATAACAACGTGACCGAATACGATGTTACTCTTGAACAACTTTACAGTATACGTACACCGGCGTCATCCGTCTCTTAATGGTATCTGAATCGAATTTACGGAATGCGTCTCCCTCCTCTCGCGTTCTCGAACGAGAACCGCTTTTTATTATCGCGGTAGAAGAACAACGAAGCTCCGACCAGAAATAAAAGGATGCCGACCTGGAACCGAAGGCATGCGACATCGATTTCATTCGCGAAACGTAACATAAAACGGAGTTCGGCTAACGGAGAAAAGTTACATCGCCGAGAGAAACGTGGGCCGTTTCTTCGCCGGTCTCGCAGCGGAATCGCAGGCGAAACGAAAATATTTTTCGAACGAACGATTAATTAAGCGTCGTCGCGAATAAAGCGGAAAGGCATGCGACGTCGACTCTTGTCGTCGACGATCGCGCGCGGGCTTGCATAAAGCGATCGAAACGGTTGTTGTTCGTGCGGAACGGAAAAACGGCGGAGAAACGAAAGTTCTTCGGAAATCGACGCAGTCGTGTCGTCGATCTCGGCGAAAAACGAACCGAAAAGGCACGCAACGTCGACTTCACGGATTCGCTTGATTACAGCGCGTGGTTACGGCGTGTTACAGCGAGAGTGACAAAGAAGCTACTTTTATTGCCATCGCGAAAGGGAACCGAAAGGCACGCAACGTCGACAGCATCGTTTGTCCAGTCATTGTTTCGCCCGGCAATGAGAAAACGGAACCGGAGCGTGACCGGAACGGACGCGGCGCCGCGTTTTCTCCGCGTCGGAAACACGCGCGGAACGTTTCCCTTTTTTACCGCGCCGCCGCCCTTACGATTAAGTACAGAAAAATTGTGTGACCCCCCCCCCCCCCCCCCCCCCCCCCCCCCCCCCCCCCCCCCCCCCCCCCCNGCCCCCCCCCCCCCCACCCTCCCTCCAACTGAACCGTTCCACGTCGTCGTCCCCGTCGTCGTCGTCTTAAAATCTTAAATATTACAATTCGCGTATAAAATTCTTCTATTCAATTTAATAGAAATTTGTTTTCCTTTCCTCGTCCCGTGAACACGATCGTAATCAATAATCAACGGATGCTGGGAGAATAGAATCGATATACTTCGACAAACGTCAACCACCCCGTCGCGGAAAAGCGTACTCACGAACACACACACACACACACACACACACTGACATTGCTTTGCTTTGCTTTACTTTACTTCGCTTTGCTTTTTTACGTTGAAACTTCGAATCCGCCGAAAAACAGAAGAAAATCGTTCGACTCGTTACATTATTTTGCTTTCCTTTTTTTTTTTTTCAATCTCTCTCCATACCTTTGCCTTTTTCTTCGCGTTTTATATAACACTTGTTATATTATACAAATATATACGGATACGTGAGTAACATTATACAATTCGAGAGAAAAATGTAACTTAGATATATGTATATAGTATGTAACATTAATAATCGATCGCGACGATTAGATGGAACAGAAAACAATGGAAACAATGAAAACAATTCAAGCAAAAGACACAATTTTTTGCCGATCGAACTTCGGAACAAAATCGAATGTAGAGCAGAATCGAAACGAATCGATCGAGAATTTACGAAACACTCTAAAGCGCCGCCGTTTCTTTAATTAGATTTCCTCCCCCCCCCTCTCTCTTTCTTCGTTCGTATTTCTTCTCCGCTTCGTCCGTATCCTTTTCCACTTTTACGTCCCTTCTCCTCTTCCGTTCGCTCTTCGATAACAACCTTACACTTTAAGGATTACAAATATCTTACTTAAGCATAATAAGGTAAACGTTCCTTAGAAGGTATATTGCACAAAACGAAGACAGAATGCGTACTCGATATTAACTTGTAAAAATTCTCGTATGTATGTTGTACACAGAAAGCAGTTTTAAGGTGTTTCGATAATACGTCGTTGTGGCCATAGCCGATCCTGTGACAAATTAACCGTGATGGTCCGCTATCTGCAATCAAACAACCGTTGTTTAAACATTTCCGTCGGATCCCCTTCGCTCTATGCCCCCGTATCTTTTGATCTTTCAAATTTAATCATCGAATCTACGTGGATCGAAGTTGCAGTAAATTCTTCCTAATCGACGCTCAGATTGTCCATTTTTTTGCACTATCTCAGCGTTAAATTATGGAGAATTTAATGTATATTTCGAAGCCGTCGCGTGCACTGTTTTAGTCTTCCTATTTTTATAATTATCGACGCCGCGATCTGATCAATATTTAAATTTACCAATTTGTTATAATATATTATAATATCGCTATTAGACAACAAAATCACAATAATGTCTCGAAATCTAGAAACAGGGGGTTCCCGAGGTCATTTGAAGTAACTTTTTTCTCAGTGAAAATGTAATCCGAGACTTCAATTGACCTCAGGAATCACCCATTTTTCCGGATTGCGCGGCATTTTTGGGAATAATAAAAATTATAAAATATTATTGAAATTATTATTACAAAATTATAATATATAATATAATATTATATAATATAATAATATTATATATTATATGTTATAATATTATATAATATATTAATATCATATAATATAATAATGTTATATATTATATTATATACGTAAAATAAACTATACAAATTATAAAATTATAAAGAATATCGTCATTACAATATCGATATTATAATATCGCCACGCGTAATACCAAGAATATTATTAACGTGTGAAATGGGGATGCTGGGAAAGCAGTCGCCTACTGTTTCATTAAGCAAGCTTTAGGCGCAACTAAATTAAGCATTTCGCATCGTCGCGAGGCCTCTCGCCTTTAGTCTTAAGATACTTCTTGTGACCAAGGGTTCGCACTCGTCGACAAATAAATAAATAAATAAATAAATAAATAAATAAATAAATAAATAAATAAATAAATAAATAAATAAATAGATAAATAAATAAATAGATAAATAAATAAATAAATAATACAACCTTAGAAGAAAAATTCCGATCAACAACCTACCTACCTACGAAAATATCCTATGTCCCAGAACTCGGTGTAGTCCTCGTCTTATCAGTTCTGACGTTGCTGTCGCTGTCCGGTCCCTGGTCCAACGAATTGTCCGAGGGCGGTTCTTCCGCGGGGTCCGGCTCGACCCTGGCTTGGGCCTCCGCGGCCTGCGGATCGACGAGAGGCATGTCGAGCGAGTCGGACGAGATACGCCTGAGATTGTTCGCGTAACCAACGACGTCCTGCTGCGTCTCTTTGCCGTCTCGTACGTTGTTCAACGAGTCCGAGCTCAGCGATGGAAAGTCCAGGGTGGTCTTCATCTCCAAAGAGTCGGAGCTTCTGCAGAGCGGATGGTGCTTCTTGTCCATGTTGTCCTCGAGCTCGAGCGAGTCGGTGCTGGTCTCCATGACGTTGCCGTCTTTAGGATCCTTGGGCTCTTCCTGTTTCAGAGGTACCTGAGAGGCCGGGACGAGAGGCGGCGGAGGCGGCCCGGTCTTCTCCGTGTCCATGATCTCGATCTGCGAGATGTCCTCGGTGGTGTCGTCCTGCCTGTCGAATCTCTCGACGTTGGTCTGCGCGATGCGGATGATCTCGTCGATCTCCTTGATCCTCTTCTCGTAGTCGTCCGATCCGGACGTGCTCGGATTAAAGGAGCCGGCCGCGCTGGTGTCGACCCTGGCCCTGAGGCTCTCCAGCTTGTACTTGTTCTCCGGGCTCTCGTGCTCCAGCAGGTCCTCCTCCTCCCTGGCCCTGAGCTCTATCAGATGGGCCTCCCTGCAGGCCTTCTCCAGGCCCTCGAAGTCCTTCAACGAGGACAGCGACACGTCGTCGCCGTGGCCCGACCGGCTGGCCGTGTATCTCCTCGGAAGGCTGCCGTTGTTCACGGAGTCGTGCGAGCCGCACTGCTGCAGCTTCTTCGAGTTCTCCGCGGCCACCGCGCTCTCCAGATGCTCGAACTCCTGCAGCGAGCTCAGCGACACGTTGTCGTGATCCGACGGCCTCACGAAGTACTTCTTACCGGCGAGGACGTCGTAGTCGGGCGTGCTGCCGAAGCTGCCGCGCATGCTGCCCACGCTGCCGATCGACTCCTTGTGGCTGCCCAGGCTGCCGAACCGGCTGCTGCCCGCCTCGAAGTCCGTGATCTCCTCCTCCTTGATGTCCTCCAACGGGCCACGGTCGTACTCGATGTCGTAGCCCCTCGCGTCCTGATGGAACTGCATCTCGATCCACTTCTTGCTGCCCTCGTACTGCTCCTCGTCCGAGTACGACTGCGAGTACTGGTCGTCGTTCGACGCCTGCGGAGGGCTCTCCTCCGATTCGAAGTCGAACAGGTCGTCCTTCTTCGCCGGCTGGCTGCTGCTGCCGCCGCCGGACACGTGCACGTCCTCCTTCGTCTCGGTAATCAGGTGCTCCAGCTCGCGGTCGAAGTTCTTGCTGCTGACCTGTTCGGCAGGGTTCGGCGAAACGTGAGTCGAATGAATCGTCGAATAAAGTGGCTCGAAATGTCTCGTGCTTCATCTCGTTCTAATCGGAGAGATCTCGGCAATGTGTTAAATAAATTTCAATTTAAGGACTGGAAATAAAATCGTTGAGAACCGTTGTTCTTTTCGAAGCGTTGCGTGGGCGTTGCATCATCTTTGTGTGTAAAAAACTATTCACCCAAACCGCTGACTCTGTATTATATTAATATCGGCTTCTTTGTTATGTCTTGTAAAAAGTGAGTTTTTATCCACATTGTATATATATGAATAAATCAAGTTGAACTAAATTAAATTAAATAAAATAAATTAGCTTAAATTAACTTAACTTAAATTAAACTAATTAACATAAATCAAATTACACAAATTGCCTTAAATTAAATTGAATCAATTGGCTTAAATTAAACGAACTGCCTTAAATTAAATTAATTGGATTAAATTAAATTAATTAAATCAAAAAGCAGTAACATGTGCAATCCGCTGACCTGCGGCATCGAGCTGATCCTGATGCTCTTGCCCTCTGAGTCGAATTCCTCTGCCTCGCGGCCGACCTCCTCGACCACGAAGAAGTCGTCGATGATGTCCGGCTTGTCGACCACCTCGAACGAGTCGCTGTCCGGCGAGCGTCTATCCAGCTTCTCCGTGCCGACCACGGTGCTGACAGATACCCCGGAAGTCGAGGACGTGGACATGCTGGTCTGGTGCGCGATCGACGGGGTCGACGCCTGCATCGAGAGCTCCGGGCTCTCAATGGACAAGGCTCTCTTCAGCTCGGGAAACTCGGCGGTCTGGCTGTCCGACACCGTCTCCAGGTCCTTCTCCAATGTGTCCGGATCGGAGACCTTTCTCTCGGGGGTGGTCTCGGCCGGCTGGACGGAGCTGACTTGCGTGCAGACGCTCTGCACGCCGTCCTCTGAGACCCTGGCGGTCATGATGTCGACGGAGATCGGACGGACGTCGGGCCTTGGTGACGAGGCCGTGGTCGACGTGGCGGAGTCCACCACCCCTTTGGCCGGGAGCTCCTCGTCCTTGGCGACCGGTTCCGCGCGATCTTCTGGCGCGGCGTCGCCCTCGAGCACCTGCGGGAAGATCATCTCCGAGGACCGCTTCATGCGGTAGGGTATGTGGCTGTCGATCTTGTCCGTGGACTCGTCGACGGGTATATTGTCGCTGCTGGAGGAGTCCGACTGTTCCGTCCGCTCGTCCTCCAGGCCGAGCTTCATGTCCTCCGCGTCATCTTTGTCGTCAGCCTCGGAGGCCACCAGGGTCTCGGACATCTCGCTGGTGCTGTCGATGCTGCCCAGGTGGCCGGAGCTCAGGGACGCCAGGGACTTCATGGACTCCCTGGAGCTCATGGTGGTGGCCGCGGTGTGGTACTCCTGGGAGGTCGGCTTCGAGGTGGACTCCATCGACATCACGGCCGTTTCGTACTCGGAGACCGTCGCCGACGCGGCTCCGCAGGAATGGAGAGCCTCCATGTCCGAGGAGCTGGGCCTGCTGCCGCTGCCCTGCTCGTAGTCGCAGGACTGGTAGTTGCTGCTGTCCCCGGAGCTGGAGCCGATGTCCGCGTCGCTCTCGGAGGCGACCCTCTTCGCGGCGCGGCTCGGCTTGTGTCGCCTCCTAAGCACCGGCCTCGGCAGCGCCAGCGACGAGCTCTCGTCCTTGTTGTCCACGTCGGAGCCGGACCTGCTGGCGAGTATGGGGCTGGGACGCTCCTCTTCATCGTCCCTGGAGTCATCCTGGACGGTTCCCGCCGAGTCCGATCTCTCCGTGACGATCACCGGCGTCGGCTCCCTGCCGAGGATCGGCTCCTCGAAGCTGCTGAACGGCGAGTCGTACGTCGACTTCGGCTCCGTCCCGTCCTTCGACTCCGATCGAGCCGGCTCCTCCGGCGGCTGCAGCTGCGACGGCTGCGGCGAGTCGCTGCTCTTCAACGTCTCCGGGTCCCGGTCGCGGTCCCGGTCCGGCGACGGCGGCTTGTACAACAACGGCAGGTCGTTCGGTATCGACTCCGGTTGCAGCATGAACTGGAACTCGGACGGCGAGTCCTTGATCTGAATCACCGTCTCGCTGTTCTCGCTCAGCTCCTCGATCAGGTCCTGCTTCGCGGCCTCCAGCGACTCCTTCACCTCCGCGATCTCCTTCTTCACTACCTGGTCCAGGACGGTGATCGCGTAACGGGCGCTTAAATCGACGCTAGGGTAATAGTCTTTTTTAATCTTCAAGGCACATGTTGTATCGGAAGGAACTGTGGACGATTTGCCGCCGGACTTCTCGTGCTTCTCCGTCGTCTTCTCTACGTGCCTCTTGTATTCGTTGATGAACAGTTTCATCTTCGACACGTACGTATCCGTCCACGCCTTCAGCTCGTCCTTCGTCCTATCATCCTGGCCGGCAGCCTCCTCGCCGGGCTTCTCTTCGGTTTCCTCGCCGGGCTTCTCTTCGGTTTCCTCGCCGGGCTTCTCTTCGGTTTCCTCGTCCGATTTCGCGGCGGGCTTCTTCTCCGTGTCCATCAACGGCGTCGACTTCTCCAGCTTCAGCTCGACGTCCGGCTTCGAGACCGCGGCTCTGTCTACCTCCTTCGAATCTTCTTCAGCCTTGGACTCTTCGACCTCCTCGGTATCCTCGCTCTTCTGCTCCTTGATCTCCTCGCTTCTCTGCTCCTTCTCGCTGACCTCCTCCGAGCCCTTCTCGGTGCTCTCCTCGACCTTGTCGTCCTCCATCGCGGCAACACCCTCCTTCTTCTCCTGTTGACTCGACGAGTACTCCTCGATCGACGCCTTCTCGTCGTTCTCCCGCTGCAACATGTCCACCAGCTCCTGAAGGCTGACGTCCAGCTTGTTCTCCACCATTTCGCTGTCGAAGTCTTGCTCCGACTTGCCGGCCTTCGCGTCTGCCTCCTTCGCGGACTCTATCACGCTCACCTCCTCGGACGACTTGGTGCCGGACTCCTGTTCAAGGTCGACGGACTCGTCCTGCGACGTCAGACGTTTCCGCATCGTCTCGTACTCCTCGAGCTCCTGGTTGAAAATCTGCGACGGCTGCAGCGTCTCCGAGATCTCGATCTTCTTCTCGCCGATCATCCAGCTGACCGGCTTGATCTCAAGGTCCTGCACCTTCAACTTCGGCGACATCATCGGCGGGCTGTCTATCTCGAAGCTGTCGGTTCTCTTCGGCTCCTTCAGCTTCTCCAGGGGGAGGCCTTCCTGGACCAGCGAGGAGTCCACGTTCGTGTCCTCGGACACGGTGATGTCTCGGGATCTGGCTGTCTTCTCGAACGAGTCTATGTCGCGCAGGGAGGAGATACCTCTGCTGGTCTGTTCGGATATCTTGTGTTCATCGGTTTCCAGAGACGGGACGTCCACCGAGTCTTGTCTGGATTGGCTGTCCGCGGCGGGCTCCAGGATCTCCAGGACCCTGGCACCGGACCCCTCGCACACGATCTTCTCCCCGTCCTTGCCGGATCTGTCCTGCTTCTCCGACTGACTCAAGGTCAGCTTGGAGAGATCCTCCAGCTCGTTCGTGTCGACGTCCATCGTCTCCTCAAAATCGATCTGCTCCGACATGCTGCTCGGGCTCATGGTTATGTCCCTGTCGAGCTGCCTTGCCTGCGAGGAGGACAACGGATAGCTCTCCTCCTTCTCTTCGTCCTTCGAGATGTCCTCGCTGAAGCTGTCCCTGGTCGAGCTCTTCTCGAAGGACTCCTCTTGGAAGGAGGCTCTGGTCCTGTCCGCCTCCTTCTCCGCTTGCCTCTTCATGATGTTCTCGAACCGCAGCGTCTGCTTGTCCGCAAGCTTCTCGTCGACGGTCTCCGGCCCACCCTCGATCATCTCCTCGAGCTTGGTCAGCAGGCCCTGCAGCCTGGTCTCGGCCGACTTAGCCGCCGCCTCCTCCTCGATCTCCTGGATCAACGTCTCCGCGATCGTCCGCGCCTCGATCTCTTTGAACTTCTGGATCTGCAGCTCCTCCAGGCTCATCGTTTCTGGCTCCGGCGCCTCCTCCTCCCGCTGCTTCTTTGGCAGCTTCGGCTCGAACTCGGTCACCTCGAAGCTCTCCTTGGTCTCCTTGTGCGACTCCGCGTGCGCCAGCTTCTCCACCCGAGGCGAGTCTTGGACCGGCTCCTCGATCAGCTTCACGTCGTCGCCGGCCGCCTCCGAAACGTCCTTCTTGATCCTGATCGCCACGTCCGCGTCGCTCTCCCTCGTCGAGCTGCTGCCGGCCTCGTGAGTCGTCACTCCTTCCTCGTCGGACAGCTTCTTGAACGTCTTCTCCTCCTTCGTTCTAGCCTGGGACTCCGACGCGGACGCGTCGATCACCTCCTCCTTGTCCGTCAGGTTCATCGACATCCTCTGCACCGCCACCTTGTCCAGCTCCTCACGTTTGCTCTTCTTCTCCTCGACGGTCTCCGTCGGCGACTCCTTCCTCAGTTGCGACTCCGACGATTTCTTCCTCTCGATCTGCTCCTTCTCCTCGTGCGTGATCAGCTTGTCCGTGCCGGTCTGGATCTCCGACGACTTCACCTCCTTCTTCTCCAGCATGCTCGACGACTTCTGGTCGATCTTTGATGTTACCGTCGAGTAGTCCGGCTTCCCGTTCCCTTCGAACATCCGGAACGCCTCCTGCGGGTCCGCGAACGTCTTGGAGAACGTCTGCGTCTCGCTCTTCGTCGTCGAGTGCTGCTCCAGCTTCGACGTCACCTCCTCGCTCGACTTCTTCTCCGTGATCGTGTACGTGCCGCTCTCCTTCCTCACGTGCGTGTCCTTCCTCTCGGCCGGCTTCGTCTCTACCACGCGCTTCGGGATCTGCGACTCGAACTCCTTCTTCTTCGGCGCCATTGTCGCCTCGGGCTTCTCCGGGCTGACGTCCTTCGGCGAGTCTTTGCCGGCCGGCTTCGCGTCCGGCGACAGCTTAACCTTGGTCTCCTTCTTGCTCTTATCCATCATCGACGTCGAGATCGGGATTCGCGACTCCTTTTTCGCCTGCTTCACCTCCGACACCTCCTCAGACTCTTTGGTCTCGCCGGCCGCGACTGCCGCCCTCTCGATCTCGTCCTGCAACTGCATCGCTCGGATGTCCTCGGCGCTGATCATCTCGAACAGCTCTGTGCCGTCGGACTCCTGAGTCACGTCGCTTATGGTCTGCATCTTCCCGGTCTCGTCGCCGATCTGCACCGACTTCGTCACCTGCTCCTGAACCAGCGACCCGTCCTTCTGAACCTTGTAGATGATCGTCGTCTCCTCCGTGATGATCCGCTTACCACCGGATCTTGCCTTGATCACCTCTTGCGTCGTTATCGACGGCTCTACTTTGATCTCGGAGACTACTTTTTCCATTCTCCTGTCCGTTACTTTGTCCTCCGGCTTCCTTGCCTTTTCTATTCTTTCTTCCTTCTGGTCTACCACCTTTGCTTCTTCCACCATTTCTGCAATTTCTTCTGGCTGCTCCTCTGCAACCTTCGCCGGTTCCTCTTTCACTTCCTCGACTACCTCTTGCTTCGTTTCAACAGTTACCTTCATGGGTTCCTCTTTCACAATTACTTTAACTTCTTCCTTTGGAGCCTCCTTCGCTGGCTCCTCTTTTATTATTTCTTTAATTTCTTCTTTCTTTGGAGCTTCCTCCGTAGGCTCTTCTTTTACAACTTCTTGAACTTCTTCTTTCTTTGGAGCTTCCTTCGCTGGCTCCTTTACTACAATTTCTTTAACTTCTTCCTCCTTTGGAGCTTTCTTCGCTGGCTCCTCTTCTACAATTTCTTTAACTTCTTCTTTCATTGGAGCTTCCTTCGCTGACTTCTCTTTCACAATTTCTTTAACTTCCTCTTCCTTTGGAGCTTCCTTCGCTGGCTCCTTTACTACAATTTCTTTAACTTCTTCCTCCTTTGGAGCTTTCTTCGCTGGCTCCTCTTCTACAATTTCTTTAACTTCTTCTTTCATTGGAGCTTCCTTCGCTGACTTCTCTTTCACAATTTCTTTAACTTCCTCTTCCTTTGGAGCTTCCTTCGCTGGCTCCTCTTTCACAATTTCTTTAACTTCCTCTTCCTTTGGAGCTTCCTTTGCTGGCTTCTCTTCTACAATTTCTTTAACTTCTTCTTCCTTTGGTGCTTCCTTCGCTGACTCCTCTTCTACAATTTCTTTAACTTCTTCTTCCTTTGGAGCTTCCTTTGCTGGCTTCTCTTTCACAATTTCTTTAACTTCTTCTTCCTTTGGTGCTTCCTTCGCTGACTCCTCTTCTACAATTTCTTTAACTTCTTCTTCCTTTGGTGCTTCCTTCGCTGACTCCTCTTCTACAATTTCTTTAACTTCTTCTTCCTTCGCTGGCTCCTCTTTTACAATTTCTTTGACTCCTTCTTTCTTTGGAACTTCCTTCGCTGGCTCCTCTATCACAATTTTTATAACTTCTTCCTTTGGAGCTTCCTTCGCTGGCTCCTCTTCCACAATTTCTTTAACTTCTTCTTTCATTGGAGCTTCCTTCACTGGCTTCTCTTTAACAATTTCTTTCACTTCTTCTCTCTTCTCTGTGACCTTCACAGTCTCCAACTTAATAATCGCCTCCTCTTGTATCTTCTCTACGAACTTCACAGATTCTTCTTTTACGATCTTCTCTACCTCCTCTCGTTCTTTCTCTGTAATTATGACAGGTGCCTGTACAACAACCTTCTTTACCTCTTTCTGTCTCTTCTCAGCCTTCTTTACAAATTCCTCCTCAATCTCCTTCACCTCTTCTTCTTGTTCCTTCTCGACTTCCTTCGCTACTTGGACAATCTTTTCTACTTTCTCCTGCTTTATCTCCTCAACGACTATCTTTCGCTCTTTCATCTCCTCCTCTTTCTCCTTTTCAGCAACTTCTCGCCTTTTCTTCGCCGCAGCCACAGTCTCTTGCTCCATGATCGCCTCTTCCTCATGTTCCTTCTCCAGCCACGAAGTTTCCTCTTTAAGAGCCCTCTCGGCATCCTCCTTCTTCACCGCGATCTCCTTCACCACCTCCAGCTTCTTCCCCACCTCCTCCAGCCTCCTATCAATCACTTTCCTCTCTTCCTCCTTCATCATCTCCCGCACCTTAGTCATGACCTGCTCCTCCCTCGAAACATCCATCTCTTTCTCTTCGGTCTTCTGCTTCTCCGGCTCGTCGATCTTCTCTTTGGTCTCGTCGTATGTCTCGGCTCCCTCGTCCTCCTCCTTCTCTGCTCTGTCGTCGTCCGATCTTTCGACGGTCTTCTCCTTCTCGGATCTGCCGGCAGGCTGCTGCTGGGCTGCTCTCGCTGGGATCTTCGAGATCTCCTTCTGTATCTGCTCCTCGAAGTAGTGAGCCTTCTCGGCGACAGAGCACTCGGAGATGTCCGGCACGTTCAGGTCCTCCATCGTCTCCGATTTCTCGATCTGGGGAACAGCGTCGGTGGTCCCGTCGGTGGCGACGTTCTGTGTGACGTAGAGGCTGTCGCTCTCGTTCACAGTCAGCTCGGACGTCCTGGACACGTCCGACTCGGACCGCTGGTAGCTCTCGCGCTTCCGCGATATGTCCTCCCAGAACTTCCTCTTCTCCGAGTAGGTCTGCCTCTCGACGGTGGGCGAGAGATCCTGCTCTTGGCCGACTACTTTACTGGGATAACTAGCATCTACAGATTCTAGGGGAGAAGCCGCTTTTTGCGCAAGGGATTCATGAATAGTAACAGCATCTAGAACAACCAAGAATTATGCTCACGTTACGATTTTATTCAGCGTCCTCGTTCGGTTACAGAGAATATTTACAATCACAGCTGCGGCGAGCTCGACAGGACTAGGCGGTCGGACTATAGTAATCTGACCGCGGCTCCTCAGGCTCGCGAGGCCGTTAATATCCTCTTATCGAGATCCGCGTGCCGACAGGGTCTAGCAGCCGTTTAGGCTGCCTGCGACACCGCGGGTCGAAATGGACTGCGGGGTAAACGTGATTAGAAAATCATGTACGGTCGCGTAGAACCGCGATACGATGTTCAAGGCCTTCGTGGTCCGGTCCGATAATTCGTGGCAAGCGCGATGATCTTGTTTAAGCGGTGGACAGTCGGTCGCTTGCGCCGTCTTGACAAATGACGCCGCGGCTGCGTCATTGACCGGTTCGAACGCGACCAGCTCGGATTTCTGGAGGTTTAATTTTGCGATTGAAGTATTCGGTGGAGCGGGCTTTCTGGTTTTATTCCGGTTCACGGAGACGGCAATTCTCTACCACGAAGACCTTGAATTCAACGATTTTAGATTTAGTTCAGAATGGTTAGTACGCCGAGCATGAGGAGTCGCAGCACGTTTTCAACGAACGCACACACTTCTATCTCCGTTAGAATCTTCGTTAGGTTAACATCGAAGAGAAACTCTGTTGCTGTGCACACAACAATTTGCTCTCAGACGGCACATTATGTCATGAAGGTTAATTAACGAGATATATATCAATTATCCCTTGAACAGTGTAACATGCATGCAGCAAGTGTAAGCGAAAAATATATATTTCTCTTTCTCTCTATATATATGTATATATAGTTATATATAAATGTATATATAAATATATAGATATATATTTTTATATTTATATATCTCTGCGTGTACGTGTGTGTGTGTGTGTGTATGTATGTCTGCGTGTGAGACAGAACAATAGTTATCGAGATAGGTCTAAGTCCCTTCAGATTCTACAGAAGGTTGCTGTTATTTTTATAGTAACGTCCTTAAGTTATTCTATATAGTTTCCGTCGACATTTATATTATTAATATCCCATACGGTTGTCTATGATAATGTTCAGGACGGCAGTTTTGTCTGCAAGTACAAGTACAGAAAATTGTGTTAATCATCGATCGTCGACCATCGGAGCGTGGTTTGTTTGTTCTTTAAACAAATATATTACCTAGTAGACACGTTCTATTTCCAAATTCTCTGTCGACAGCGACTCTTTCGTTTTGTCTTTTTTTTCTCTTTTTTTCTGTATCTTTTGCTCTCTCCGACGTTCGCTGTCGTTTCGAAATTAGTTTCAAAGAGTAAAACAACAGACAATCTCATTCAAAGCACGGTGCAAAAAGAAAGCAGAGAGATATTATATGGCGGTCGATCTGTGGTGCTTGTATGGTAGATCTTGTCGGTGTGTGATCGTAATTGAAATGATTCGTTAGTTTTTTTTTTCTTTTTTGGTGTTAAGAGTTTTGCGAGAACTGTGAACGCTCGTCGCATAGATAAATCGTGGGTTGTTCACCTTGACGAAATGGCACTGCGATCGTCCATCGATACGATGATCTTCCCTCTTCGGATCAACCAGGCTTCTCTTCGCTTTGTTTCTCAGTGTTTCCGGACCGGATCGATACTTACGTGTTCGCAGAGATATCCTACTCGGTTTCGTGTTTGTCGTTCGTTCGCGAAACGCTTTATTTAATTAGCCCCCTCCCCCATCCCCGTCGTCGGTAATTAGCCTAGTAAATGAAACTTGCCTTCAAGCGACACGATCACGGCTTTAATAGTTTCTACAAAGTTCGACTGACAATAGAAAAATAGATTCCCCGCGGACTATTTGTTTAAAAACGTTGCCCGACCGTCGCACGTTCTTCTCGACGATCTTCCTCCGTCTACAAAGTCGCGTTCCAAGGAATTACAAGTTTCCGAAAACTCTTCGCCGATCGACGATATCTCGGGAACGTTCGAGCGTCGGGCAACAGCTACAAAACGAGCCAACAAGCTACCGAATAAAACAAGGATCTGCTCCGCAACGATCGCACGTGATCCTCCCTCGCTTCGAAGACAAGGTCGTTGCCCCACCAAGTCCCAAATCCGATGCAACCAAACGCGACTCGACCGATCCTCCGACCGTCTCGCGGTGCCCTAAACGGTCTACTCGGCCTGTTCAACGTCCTCGACATCGGTGTGGCAATCGCTGGCCCCGTCGTCGCTGACATCCTTCAGGGCCAACCGATTGTCCGCCTTGCTGATGTTCTTCATGACGATCTGCGAGGCAGCCAGCACGTCGAGGTCGTCCAAGAACTCCTTCTGATTGCAGCAAGCCTCCTCCATCAGTTCCTCGTCGGACGCGATCATGTCCTCCTCGTCGGTGTTCGGCATCACCGTGATCTCGGGCGTATTGCTGTGCACCTGTTCCCTGGGCTCCTCCTCGAGGTACATCCTGTTCCTAATCTCCACCGAGAAAGGTCCGTCCCCCTCCTTGGTGGTGATGGTCTCGCCGCTGTACTCGCAGAAGATGTCGGACCTGGGCTTCACGAAGATGATCGCCTGCACCTCCTCGTCGCCCTCGATGTCCTCCAGGTCCGTCTCCCCCGGGCAGGGGTTCTCCGCGACCTTGAGATTGCCCAGACTCTCGACCGCCTCGGTCTCGGACTCGCTCGGATAGATCTCGTCGACGTCCGTCACGCTCTCGACGAAACTGTTGCACTGCAGCGTGTCCTTGCCGTCCGCGTCCTGGCCGGTCTGCGAGTCCTGCTCGAGACCCGGCTTGTTCTCGACGTCCTCTGCCGTGATCTCGATCACAGGGCCCTGCCGGGCCTCGGACAGGTGTCTCGACAATCGTCCCGGCGGCGCTATGGTGGTCAGTTCGCCCTCGGAGTCCGTGTCCGAGAAGTGCAACGACGCGTTGCTCACCATGGCGTTCAACTTCCGGCGCGTCGACCTCGCTTTCCGCTTCGCCTTCGTCCCCGTCGCGCCGTCCTTCGGCTTCGAAGGGCTCGCCGGCGTCAGCTTCGAAGGGCTCGTCGCCGGCGGTTGCGTCACGGGACTCGGCGTCCGTTGCTTCGCGTTCGAACACTTGCTACAGAGCTCCAACGAGTCCTCGCTCTCCGGAGACTTTTCCGTGGCGGTGTCCCCGTTCGTTTGCGGATCCTCGCTCTCCATTGTCGGGGACGCTCGCGATATTATTAAAAGTCGCCTTTAGGCGCAGGCTAGCAAATAATTTAAACAAAACCTGAAACTGAAGAGCCAGACAGAAAATAAGGAATCTGAGGACGAGGTGGCAAAACCTTTTCGCTGCTGAACACGTTCCTGGAGAGGTTAGAACGACGCGGGATGTTCTCACGGCGAAATTGTTTCGCACGGTCTTAGCTGGTTCGATGTAGAAAGCTTGAATACCTTGTTTCGAAGTCGGGAACGATTGCATTCTACAGGATGCTCTGTCATTATGTTAAAAACCCGAGAGAGTTGATTCCCGAGGTGATTTTCGAAGTAACTTTTGGCTTCTCGCTCGCGGTTTTGCTTGCGAATTATTAACGGAAAGCGCTGACCAATGAGAGGCGAGCTCGGCTGCCGAGCCAATGAACGGAACTGAGTTTCGACCCGTCTGCCTCGCGACAACTGATCTCGCCTCTCATTGGTCAGCTTTCGTCGTTAATAATTCATAAACGAAACCGCGGATTGCATTTTCGCTAACAAAAAGGTGATTCCATGGGAAATAGCGATTTCGATGCAATGTCATTTCAAGGATGAAGGTCAAGATTAAATTCTGAGCGTTCAAGATCTAACCTTGCGTTTCACGTTTAGCAAGGAATCTGTGCTATGGTTCTGACTCGGTGCAGCGAAAAGGTTGACGAGAGAAAGCGAAAATAAACGACAGAGAAACGACGGACTCGGTCCGAAATAAAAGAAACTCACGTCTGCGTGACAATGGGCGGTGCGAACCGCTGGCAAGGCAACAGCGTTTTGCGAGATATGGTATGACAGCGTTTTGCGATGATGATGTCCAGCGAAGGCTCGCAGCGAACTAAACGTGTCCGTCGTATTTCATTTTTGTTCAGTTCTCTCGGCCGTTTGTTGATACTATTACGCGTAATTGAGTTAGGGAAGCCATAGCGAACCGCTCGAGCCGTAAGCAGATTTGTGTATGTTTTTCTTTCCGCCGTAAACGAAAAGTCGAGTTGCAATGGCGATGCGTCGACGATGACGATGATGCTCTGATGATGATCGTGTCGCGCATACGGTGTCGTCGCGTCCAGATCATTCGACGATCCGCTGTGCCGCTGGACCATTTACTACTAACCTTCGTTTCTTTCCGCAGCCGTTCGTTACGCAATTATCGATCGGTATTATCGGGGCAATTGATATTCGATATCTGTCGCATGTCTGTGTGCATGGGGGTTTTCGTTTTTGCACTCTGTGCTTTGAATTTTTCGACTAATAAAACGTGAAGCCGGCGATCGTGTTCGCACGATCGGGACCAAAATACGATAGCAATTTTAAGCGTTCTCTCTACGCGTCGTTTTGCGATTCTCTCGATCGACGCTCTCGTAAATAGTTGACTCGTCTATTCTACTTCTACTAATCGGCTCGAACAGCTTTGTCGGTCGAGCCTTGACCCTCGGGCTCTTACGCTTTGCCGTGTCAGAAATTTCCTTCGGCGTCGATGATTCACGGACGTTGGCTACGATCGATCGTTAATTTGTTACGATCGAATCGGTTGTTTGGTCGCCGCTCGTTCGACAAAGCTGTATACAATTTCATACGATGGCGGACGTCATACCTGTTCGTTCCTTTTGCAGAGTGTCGGTTATGAATTTCTTTTCGGACGGCGAGGTCTCACGTAGGTCGTCGGATTTCTCGGTTTGCTCGCCTTTGTACTTCGATTCGTACGTGTCCAGTTTCTGATTTATGATATTCGAATCCTCGTATTCTGTAACAGAGAACGACGACGTTATTTCAAGGTTTGCGCGCGCGCGCGCGCGAGCGAGCATGACGCGCGTATTAATGATCCGCGGCCGATCAAATGTTAATGGGACCACACGGTGGCTACTTGCCTTTTAGCTTCTTCGTGTCGTCGAGTTTCGCGGTGCTTTCTGGAAGAACGATATTTAACACGCAAATCGGTTGCTGAGGTGGTTCACCCTTGGCGACCTTGGGCTCGCGCATGAACAGCATCCTAGCCACAGGGTCCAGCATGGGGTCCTTGACCTTGACATGGAAGGACAGGCGGTTCTGACGGAAGGCTTTGAATGTGAACTTCAACTGTACACCGGACTTCGTCACCGGTACCAGATTACCGCTAAACTCAATGTACAGGTCTTTTCCGTCGAGGGCCTGCAAGCACCGCCATCGTTACAATGAATAAAACGAATAAAAATTATTACTAATGCACGCAGCAACAGTTAGAACATGAATTTACTGTGGATATTTAAATGAGAATGACTGATTTTTCCACGTTGCATGCGCATAAATATCCGCGGTCTACCACATTAGAACAACAGTTTTGTTGTTTCTAGATTCATGCGTGTGATACTCCGGATCGTGTTTCATTCGATGCGGTGCAAAAACCACGGACATCGAGTTTCCAGCCGTAAAAACACATGAGAACTATACGAAGATGAACAGGAAATACGTGCGTACATATATGTGCGTTCGTGTACAATTACGTTTAATTTAGAACGATTGATTGGAAAAACGACAGAACGTGCGCAGGAAAGTCGTTATGGAAATGAACAAGGAACAGAACGAAAATTGATAGTTTCTATTAACAAACAAAAAAAAAGGATGATGCACTTGAAAGAATAATCGAAATAAAATATCTTTTATTGCATGCTAATAAATGAACCATGGTAGATATTATGTAATAAACAATAATTACTTCGACGTCGCGGCTTTTTACAATTTCGACGAACTCCTCTTGCCTTTCCAAAGTGTGCATGCCTTCCTTCCCGTCTGTCATGCACAGTATTCTGAGCGTTGCCTCGAATATGTCTGTTCGTTTTGTGTAAATTACAAAACTGCAAGGCGGACAAGTTTTAGTTTTCAATGTGGACACATCTAATCTTGCGATACAATCGATGGTGTCACTCACTTGATTATGTACGGCACGTATAAAGACTCCTCGTACAATTCTGTGGCCATTTTTGAGACTGCCCCTATGTTTCGACAGTCCATCAACCAAAATCTGGCGGACACTGTCGTGGTGAACGATACTCTGTCATTCATAAACGTCAATGGTGTGGAACCGGTAACATCTTCCCATTGTGACTCGCTTGTACCACCTAAATTAAATTAGTTTAGCCGATGCAGATCTTAGTTACCGTTCCCATGCATTTCTTGGACGATTTACCTGCAATGCTGCAAAGCAGACGCAGCGTCGGCGTTTCGCCTCCATACTGATTAATCATACCCTTGTTCGCAGCTTCTGGCACAGGTATAGTGAGGGTGATTGGTTTATGGAATTTACGTCTTCTGGGTTCTATCGTTATCACAGGCGAAACAGCAACGCAATTGCCAAGCAGTTTCGCAGTAAGTTCTGCAGGAATCACGTGCGCCTAATGGAGAAGAACAAATTCTGTAATAATCGTTACCACGTCGAAGCATTCCATTGATCTTGCAGGATCATATTTACCTGCAGCCCAACTTTAATTTTCTTGGTCAATGCTCCAGGTGGAAAGACCGCTTGAACATGGTTGGCCACGCTTGATATCAAAATACCACCCTCAGCACCGATCACGTGAACTTCCTGCTTAATTCTTGTCACCGTAGCAAAATACTGGGGGAAGTCTGTCGTTAATATGCGAGTGATTCTTCCAGAATGGGTGGCGCTCATTTGGGTATCTGAAAAATTCAATTTATAGGATAGGATTTGATGATATCAAAAATTACAATTACCGTATGGAGTGTTCAACAATGTGTCATCATTGTCGACCGAGTTGTCATGCTCCTTCCAAGTCTCTCCATTTTCACTTCTAAGGATGATAATCTCTCTCCCTTTGCCTTGAATGGACGCAAAGTGCGGTATGTCGATTAAAACAGGTCTGAAACAAAGGTCAACCAATTTAGGAAACTTCTTGGCAATCGATTAAACACAATTAAGAGAATAATTTACCCAAGGAATGTTACGCCGACTGGTCCCATTTCGATTATGCGAGTCGCCAACGCCTCTCCTTCCATCAAAGGAGGAGGATTTGCTACCTTGCTAGGCTTTACCAGTCTACAAGTGACACGAATCGGCATTGTTGCTCTACGAGGCGGAACAATGATGCGCACACCACTGTGTCTGCATCCTCTCATTGCACCTCCGCGTGCATCCACCAAAAAGCTAACTAAAAATCTGGAAAATTAACATCGTTAGCACAATGATTTTATTAACTCGATTATACTCGTTCCAAATCCAAATTACTTACGATCTGAAATGCAGTCGGCTAAAAGTAGAAATATTTTTATATCAATATTAGTTCGCAAGCGAAGCGTTATGTTCATAGCTCGATGCAGAACTTATTAATCGCATCATAATTAGTAGTGCATAGTTACCCCAGATTGTAGCCCTCTGTGTCGAAATTCTCTGCCAGACAGTAGTTATTGCTTTGCGTGAACTCCTGTTTTCCTTCTTTTATAACTAATAAAACAGAATTCACTAATATGCGTCCAACTAATCCGAATTTTGTCTAATTATTTATCAAAACAAACGTTACCTTGTCTGTGGATTGGATCGTCTCTTGTAACATCAATGGGAAGAGAATCATCTCTCAAACTTTTCATCAGGTCCGCAGTTAGGTAGCGGTACGGTTGCTCGCTAATTAGCGCATCTGATCCTGAACAAGGAATACACAAATTAATTCAATTTATCGAAATAACAATTCCGAATTTGTTGTTACCTCCTTCGTCGTCCGAGTCGGACATAAAGCTGGTTTCCTGCAGACTTTCCGGTGCAATCACTCTGTACTTCTCAACGCAATTTACATTGTCTGGTACTTTAATTATCAGAGTATCATACGGCAACCCTTTCAACACTTCCGTGACAGATATGTATCCTAACTTCTGAGCTATGTTCAACGCGCTCAAACCGTCCTGCAAATATAATTTCTGCTTCTTCTAGTGCTCTTTAAAATTGCTGTGATTCTTTGAACATTCTACTCACATTAGTCCGCGCTTTGTGAGATGCATTACCCTCTAGCAAAGCGGTAACGATGTGAGCATGACCTTGCTGAGCAGCCTGATGAAGAGGCGTGTAGCTCTGATTAGTTTTCACATTAATGTCTGCATTGTGCTTCAACAGGAATCGGATCATCGACAGATTTCCGAAATGCGCAGCTACATGAATGGGCCGGTAGCCAGTTTCAGTTTCACTTTCAACATTTGCGCCATTTTTCACCAGAATTGAAGCCACCCTGATGAAGTCCTCTTGAGCACATAGATGCAGAGCGGTCAGGCCATTCTGAAAAGAAGAAGCATTAATTATTACAGGTCATTACTTTTAACTAGGAGTCTTGACTTCTAGCGGGTGATACATTACCTTGGACTTATGATTAGGGTCAGCCCCGTGTTCAATTAACAAGTTCGTCATGTCATAGTGACCCTTCTGCGCACTCAGATGCAACGGGGTGAATCCTGCTTTTGATTCAGCATTCGCGTTGGCTCCATTTTCCAAGAGAGTGGAAGCAATGTCCATCTGAAAATCATGGGATTGTTTTGTTAATAATTTATTCATACGACTTCGCTTTGTAAAATTAAATTACCTGGTTCTTATGAGCTGCAATGTGCAGAGGTGTGTGTCCATTCTGCGATGCAAGATGCGGCGATGCACCCTTCTCTAGCAACAAATTAGCTACGTTTGGATGATCGTAGTGGCACGCCAGGTGCAGTGGTGAAATGTCGTTCTGAAACAGTTCACATCCTCGATCTTAAAATACTAATTAGTTTAACAGACATGCTTTTAGCAACTTTAAAATAAATTAGATCGGGCCGCTGTTCTCTTGAAGTAGAAGCAGTCGGTCATAGTCAGACACGACAAATTTAACGTTCCCTCAAAAAGGAAACTCTTTGGTTTCAATAACTAACTATTCTATTGTCTACATTGAATAATGTGTCGTAAATTATATCATAGCATTTATTTTTAATTGTTCTGTAAATTATACAAAATTGGAAACAACTGGAAATTAAGAGAAAGTGAAATACAGAATATAATGGTGGACTCGTGTATAGAAAATATTAAAAAGAAAATATATGCATGGATTGTACAAACCTTTCCTTGGACATCTAACACACTGTTCCTCTGCAAGAGTATCTTTGCGACACTCATGTTGCCATATTTAGCCGCTATATGCAAAGGAGTAAAACCGTTCTTAGTCGTAGCATTAAGGGAAGCGTTATTTTCCACAAGGATAGCGGCCACCTGCATAGAAAAATATCCGTTCAAATACATTTGCGCGATTGTTAAACAATACAGACAAACAAGTACTCGAATAAAAAATGACAGTCTTTCTTTTTCATATCATATCACACTGGAACAATTTCTTCGTATTTTCGGGAATATTAGCGAGAAATCAAAATTTCACGGTGTTAGTTTAATTACTCAGTCACTGTAAAAAAATAAATGTTAAGACGTGTTAATGAAGAGTCTACAAATGAAAGAACTGATCATAAAAAAAATATATAGCTTACCTTCGACAGCTAATAATTATAAAGCTCGTTTTACGCTACTCTTACGTTTTACATTTTACAGGATGCAACGAAACGATACTTAATTAACACACGATTCTCCTACACACACATACACACACAATCTTCGCGAAAGTCGCAGAATTAAACTAAGTTTGTTACAAACGTATTATAACGTATATATAAATAATTTTATTCCATCGTAAACGATGGGAAATCATTTTCAGGGCACAAATAATAACGAGAGGGAATAATTAATCTCAAAAAAGAGCATGCAAAATTGTTAAACTGAGAAGTAAGGCACATAAATAGTAATCAATGTGACGAAACGTTTTATTAAAATTTCATACATGTAAAGAACTTAAACGTAAATTATAATGAACGTAAATAAAAATTTTCAAGACACGTGAGATGATGTTGCGAATGATGATGGCGATGATGGAATCTCGCAGGAATAAATAATAATAATACGTGATAACGAGAAAATAATAAACGTTTACGTGTCGCAGTTGCTATATAAGGTATTCGCGTAGTCTCGTCCAAAATAAATAGATTTCGTTTTGCGTGCAGATATAGTCCGCTATTTCTGAGATTTCTTTGTACATTACCTCCTCCTGGCCCTCCTTCGATGCTATATGCAAAGCTGTGTACATATCTTTCGTGGTGGTGTCGACGGCTGCGCCATGTTGCAACAGCAGCATAACAATATCAATATTTCCTAATCGGGATGCTATGTGCAGCGGCGTTTGTTGCTCCTGAAAATTACACACAGTCGGGCTAAATAAAGTGAACGGGTATTCTCTCGCTATCGATAATCGTCCTAATTAGGAAAACAAAGTAAGACTCGAGCAAGACTGGTTAATAGACTGTACATATGCTAAATAACTGGGCAAATGTTTATTCGTATGTGCATATTATTTATAAGTGATCGGTAAATGATCGATAAGCGATCAGTAAAGGTATTCAATTTTCTAAGGACAGTACAAACATACAAAAATATACCTGGGAATCTTATTATGATATTATGTTTGATAATTGAAGAGATATTACACAGGTGTTTAGATATCAACGGTGTATTGCAATATTAATCCCACGGGAAATAATGAAACTGTTGGATTCAGAGACTCACGTATCGTTCTGGCTAGATGGTTCATAGAGACTTACCCGTGCACGAGCATCGACCTTAGCTCCGTTTCTTAACAAAATTCGAATAATGTCTGTCTGATTAGCCCTAGCTGCCAGGTGCAGGGGTGTCTCGCCCCTAACGGTGGGCACGTCCGGATTGGCCTCGTGTTGCAGCAGAAATATCACGATATTCATACATCCCATAAAACTGGCCACATGCAATGGAGTCAGTCCAGACTGTAAAATATAGACACGTCTCGTTAAATACAATAGAAAACAGGATCCCTCCTCTCCAGGAACATACGTATACATCCAGGGAACACAAAACAAACACTAACATTTACCACACATAAAAATAACCATCCGTTATCGAGAGCAAGACAGTATTTATTAACCAGTCTTTAAAGAAAGAAAAATAATTCATCGGTTCCTCTCAAGACCATTCGATAGATCCTTTATGTCCTTGAAGTTGTCGCGCGCGACTCTTTTAGAAAAGCATTTAGCAATTTGATGAAAAAGAAAAAAATGGTACTTTGAGGGACCCCGAAGGACAGAAAGGAAAATGTATCGCGCATGGATACAGGCGACGATTACACGCATGCCCAGTGAATTATCCTCCGCATGCTGACCACGCTGTTAATTACAAATGTACTTTGAATGCCGCCAGACGTGTTCCCTCCGAAGGATACGCTTCGACAGGACAACGATCGAGAACACACACGATCTCATGCAGAACTAAAGAGACACAGTTTACTGTTCGGCACGTCCGATTACCTCGGTCGTAGATTCGATCGAAGCTCCGTGTTTTAACAACAGTTCGACGACCTTGATTTTATTCTTCTTGCACGCGATATGCAACGGCGTGAAGCCGTTCAACGCGCGTGCATTCGGGTCCGCTTTTCGATCGAGGAGCAATTTGGCGACTCTAACGTGACCGCAGTGCGCGGCGACGTGGAGAGACGTTAAATAATCGATCGTCACTTCGTCCACCGGGGCTCGGTGATACAATAACACCCTTGCTGCGTCCACGTGATCCCCTTGCGATGCCATGTGCAGCGGCGCGAGACCATTCTGACAAAAATATAATTGTATTGTAATCAAAATAAATTAAATTAATTAAAAAATAATTAAATTATAACTAAAATAAAAGACTAAGCATCGAATATTTATTGCAAGAGATTATCATTGTTTGTCTCCTTGGTCTGTCAGTCTGTGTCAATCGTTGACAGTGTTATACGTACTTTCGTACGCGCGCTGATAGGCGCGGAGTGTTCGAGAAGCGTGATGATCACTTGTTCATGTCCGGATCTAGCTGCACAATGAAGCGGCGTCAAGCCGTCCCTAGTTTTCGCATCGATTTGTGCAGAATTTTCTAATAATACTTTAACCATATTGTTTTTACCCCATTTCGCTGCGACGTGCAACGGGCTTATATTGTGCTGCAACAAGAGAAGAGAAAGTTTTTATTATTCGATCTTGTTCAAGACCGTTGTTCAATCTCGACAACCGTGTTAATTTTTACGCCGCATAATCGAGCTTCGCCGACAAGCAATCGTGCTATCGTAATTTTCCTTCGTGATAGGAGCGAATCCGTGGGACATTACCTTCGCTAAATAATTCACATCGGCACCACGCTTAATTAACAAACGAGCTATCTCCTCGTATCCGTAATGGGAGGCGATATGTAAAGGTGTGAAACCACTTTTCGAGGTGACGTCGGGTTTGTGGTCGTTCTAAGAAAGAAATCGTTTCGCATGAGCATCGAAATGCACGAGCATTGAGAAGGTGACGGGCTTAATTAAACGGATCAATTGCCACCTGTAGTAACAAATCCGCGGCTTTGCAATCGTTCTTCTTGGCAGCGATGTGCAACGCCGGCAGTCTGACTTTCCCCTTCGAGTCGTTTTCCAAGAGCACGCTGACAACCTTGTCGTGTCCTTGCTGCATCGCCACAGCAAGAGGCGTGAATCCATCCTAAAAACAATCGGAAAAGCTTGTACATACGACCGTCAGATTTTTAATTAATCGATTCCGTAAAGTTTCGATTATTTTAAAAACATGAAAATTCGAATCGATTTGCACCGAGCGGTCCAAACATTTTTTAACGCGTTTACCTCGGTGGCGAGGCTCTGATTCGCTCCATTGCTCAGCAATACTTTGACGACTTGATCGTGATTCTCTTGAGCGGCCATGTACAAAGGCGTGAAACCGTTCTGCGACTGTATATTAACCGCGGCTCCATATTGAATTAGAATATTAACTATTTCCTCTTGGCCAGCTGGAAACGGATCACGCGGCACGTTAATTAGATCAATCTTGAATCGTTTATTCAATAGTCGCGACAGTTACCTAGGGAAGCTATGTGCAACGCTGTGTTGCCCTTTTTGGTAGCTGCATCAACCTTGGCGCCTCTCTTCAACAATTCGGTTACTATCTCGACGTGGCCATCCTTCGATGCTAAATGTAAAGCATTTAAACCGTTCTGAAACACAGAATTCTTCATTTTAGTGTCCGGTCAATCTTTACCGGTTTCAATACTCGAAATTTATCCAGACGAAAGTCTCCGGTATCATTATTAATCGTCTGTCGGAATCATTATTAATCGAATCGACGAGACATAAACTTCGGCACACAAATTTTCCAAAATTAGATCGTTAATAAATATTAATTGCTCCGAATAATTTCAAGAAAAAAACTTCTCGGTTAACCTTAACGGGACTAACATATATTTTTCGATAACAATCGACAAGACTAGGTTCGTTTAAACATCGTGCGAGATCTACGGTAATGCATGCTTGGATAAACAAGTTCGCCTAAATGGTCCTCCTAGATAAAATAACCTAAAAATATGTTTACAACATCAGGAACTGTAAAACAAAGTAAACAGAAACCAGTCGTTTCGACCGATTTGGCAGTTCTGGTGTTAATAATTACCCGGAAACGATGTTACAAAGAAAATGGCTGTCTTTCTCTCTCGCGGGACTTCGATAATTACCAGAGGCAGATTACCGCGGTTTTTGATCTCGTCCACGCGATTCGTTTTCAATTGGCTCGCGTGTCTGCCCGTCACCGGCTATATCTACTCGAAAGCAAAGTTTCCAGACAACGCACGGTAATATTTCACTTGAAACTCGGCTAACCGAGGCTACGGTATATACACGGCGAACAATAAACGGTTCGTTAATTCGTAATTCGTTGTACTCACCGAGTTGGCTGTGTTGATGTCCAAGTCGGTGTCGAGGAATTCGACCACTTTCTCAAGGTTTCCAGACCGAGCAGCGCGAAGGAATGCTGTCGTGTCGTCAGCCTGTGCCGAAAACAGAACGTAATTAATCAAACAGCCCATCGACTCCCGCAACCCCGTTCCATTAAACACCCCGCGCGCGTACCATCTTCGATTCGATCCTCCGCAGTCCGTAAAACCTACCCACAGCCCCGGAATCGAACCTTTCACACCGAATATACCACCACCGAATCGCTTGCGAATTCTCGCCGGATAGGGGGTTCGAATAATCCTACCCCCGGGAAATTTCGCTTTCAACGTCCTCCTCCTCCCCCGCTCGGAAGGACACCGCCGTGTTCTGCGCGTCTCGCAAAAATATCTCCTCTTCCGTTCGCGGACCAGGATCGTGTTTATAGACGAGCCATGGTGGCGAGTCTCGCGATCACGGTGCAACACTTAAAAAGACGACATGTCTACGCAGGCTCCGGCAATCGTAATCTACGCTTGAAAATTCGTCCTGATCGAAATAGTCGCAGGAAAGAGGACTATCGTTAGCACTGTCTTGGGGTCAGTCCGCAGGTTGACCTTGAGCAACGCACCACAAAATCATCGATGTCGCAGAGGGATGATTTTCGTAAACCCGTGTCCGCGACAGAAAAAGAAATTCCACGGGAAACCGTACACGCATCGTCCTCCTCCCCCTCACCCCTCGCCGCGTATTGTTCGCACGAAAGAACCGCGGCCGGATCGATCGGGATCGCAATTTTTGGGAAATCGGCCGATTGATGATCGCCGCAGCATTCGTACGGCAGCAGCCGGCTTATGAAACCTCGTCTTTCGTGCGTTATATATCTCGTAATCATCCCCTCCCGCGGGGTGCACCCGGTCTAGAACGCGGCTGGAGAGAGAGAGAGAGAGAGAGAGAGAGAGAGAGAGAGAGAGATGGCCGGATAGAGAGACTTNTTTCAAGAAAAAAACTTCTCGGTTAACCTTAACGGGACTAACATATATTTTTCGATAACAATCGACAAGACTAGGTTCGTTTAAACATCGTGCGAGATCTACGGTAATGCATGCTTGGATAAACAAGTTCGCCTAAATGGTCCTCCTAGATAAAATAACCTAAAAATATGTTTACAACATCAGGAACTGTAAAACAAAGTAAACAGAAACCAGTCGTTTCGACCGATTTGGCAGTTCTGGTGTTAATAATTACCCGGAAACGATGTTACAAAGAAAATGGCTGTCTTTCTCTCTCGCGGGACTTCGATAATTACCAGAGGCAGATTACCGCGGTTTTTGATCTCGTCCACGCGATTCGTTTTCAATTGGCTCGCGTGTCTGCCCGTCACCGGCTATATCTACTCGAAAGCAAAGTTTCCAGACAACGCACGGTAATATTTCACTTGAAACTCGGCTAACCGAGGCTACGGTATATACACGGCGAACAATAAACGGTTCGTTAATTCGTAATTCGTTGTACTCACCGAGTTGGCTGTGTTGATGTCCAAGTCGGTGTCGAGGAATTCGACCACTTTCTCAAGGTTTCCAGACCGAGCAGCGCGAAGGAATGCTGTCGTGTCGTCAGCCTGTGCCGAAAACAGAACGTAATTAATCAAACAGCCCATCGACTCCCGCAACCCCGTTCCATTAAACACCCCGCGCGCGTACCATCTTCGATTCGATCCTCCGCAGTCCGTAAAACCTACCCACAGCCCCGGAATCGAACCTTTCACACCGAATATACCACCACCGAATCGCTTGCGAATTCTCGCCGGATAGGGGGTTCGAATAATCCTACCCCCGGGAAATTTCGCTTTCAACGTCCTCCTCCTCCCCCGCTCGGAAGGACACCGCCGTGTTCTGCGCGTCTCGCAAAAATATCTCCTCTTCCGTTCGCGGACCAGGATCGTGTTTATAGACGAGCCATGGTGGCGAGTCTCGCGATCACGGTGCAACACTTAAAAAGACGACATGTCTACGCAGGCTCCGGCAATCGTAATCTACGCTTGAAAATTCGTCCTGATCGAAATAGTCGCAGGAAAGAGGACTATCGTTAGCACTGTCTTGGGGTCAGTCCGCAGGTTGACCTTGAGCAACGCACCACAAAATCATCGATGTCGCAGAGGGATGATTTTCGTAAACCCGTGTCCGCGACAGAAAAAGAAATTCCACGGGAAACCGTACACGCATCGTCCTCCTCCCCCTCACCCCTCGCCGCGTATTGTTCGCACGAAAGAACCGCGGCCGGATCGATCGGGATCGCAATTTTTGGGAAATCGGCCGATTGATGATCGCCGCAGCATTCGTACGGCAGCAGCCGGCTTATGAAACCTCGTCTTTCGTGCGTTATATATCTCGTAATCATCCCCTCCCGCGGGGTGCACCCGGTCTAGAACGCGGCTGGAGAGAGAGAGAGAGAGAGAGAGAGAGAGAGAGAGAGAGAGATGGCCGGATAGAGAGACTTGGGCGGACGATTCGCCGAATAAGAGAAGAAGCTCGCCTAAATTCCTGTACATCTGACATTTCGTGTGCCGGTGTTCCTGCAGGGAGATCGATAAGGTTCTCGGCGGCCCTATCCTCCCTCGTCCTGAGCACACACCCTTCGATCGGGCCGGGCGAGACGGGGAGAGGAGAGCGGCGCCGGCTATCAGAAATCCGGCGGAGACCATGCAGAGGAATCGCGGGCCTACCTGGCTGGTGTTGTCCGTGACCATCGTGCTATCTGTTCGGCTGGTGGACCACCCGGACGGCTCTCCTCGATTCGGTTCACCTGTCCAGCCGACGCCGGACTCGGACGCAGATCGTTATCCGAGCTTTTGTTGTTCCTCTGTCCCTAGGCTCGCACCGCGATAATCACCACCATTCATGCGTTCCTCGAGTAACGCCGAACGCAAACAGGAGTATAGGAGCCGCCCCCGTATGCCGGCCAAGGCGCAGAATCGAGCGGCAACGATTACGGGAAAAACAGGGGTTGCATCGTTGCCTCCTTTACTCGGCCTCCCTCTCTCTTTCTATCTCTCTCTCTCTCTCTCTCTCTCTCCTCTCCCTTTCAACGCCCGCCCCGTGCACCTGTCCTTATTCCATCGGCGGGCCTGCGAGCCGGTGCCGCGGTTCTTTATCAGAGGGGGTGCGCAAGCGCCTCGGGGTGCGTTCTCTTCGCCCGGCGTCCGAAACCCCTTCGCCGGAAATCCACGTAAGATTAACCGCGCCGGCCGAGACTTACCGGCGGAGTAAATCAACTTGGACGAAAAAATCGGCCAATGGAAGCCGCATCGGGCCCCGGACTGCGGAGATTGTGCGGACGCGAGCAGGGTGAAGCGACTTCTCAAGCTTCCTTCCGCACCTTGTGCCTTGAACTTTCGACGGTACGCTTTCGTGAGAACGATTCTTCGATCGTTTTCGCGCGATCGAGACGCTGCTTTACGAACGGTCCCTTGCTCGATGGGACCGTTTGGGTCCCATGGGTCGATTGGTATCGCGAGTGGTTGTCTCGGCGCTTCTGCTGATCCGATTAATAAAGACCGCGTGACACGATTTGCTAAATATGAATTCTGTCACGAGAGCAATGAAAACAAATGAGATGACACGCGACGAACAAAAATCGTCTCGTTCTATCAGGAAAATTTGCTCGACGACAGGGAGGACGAAGAAGTGCCGTCGATGAAAGAAATCGCAGCGCGAAGATAGTGCGGAGAGAATTGAAAAATGTCGCCGCATTATTTTCAGTCGGTTCAATTATTTGGAGAAGAATTAGCTTTTCATTCAGTTTCGATTTCCTGTGACCGACCTGGACGATTTTTATTTCACATGGAAATCCGCGGAAACGTTGGAAAATTTTGTCCATGAATCCCGATCTACCCATGGATTTGCAGGCTGAAGTGTCCCCTTTGCAACGACCCCGTGAAACTTGGTGTACGATGTTTTCTTAGCCATTTTTTGTCGCGTGAAAGCTCGATAAAGCAACTATGAAAAAATCGCGGAAGAAAGTTTAAGTGTTCGTTGCAAAGGGGTGGCTTCGATCTTCGAATTCGTGTTGGGTATAGTCGCGAACAAAATTTTCCAACGCGTCGAAAATGCTGGCCAAAAAATCAGCCAAAATAGAAAAACGCCGAAAAAAATAGCCGAAATAGAAGCTTCGAGCTTTAAAACGAGTCCAGTTTGATTATCGCACGACTAGTTTTTACGAAATTATCTGAATTTTCTTGGCGACGCGCTAATTCTCGCAGCCGCGTTATCGGATTTCTATCGTTTATTATTCTTGTATAAAAATACAGATTCGCATAAAGTTGTAGCGATGACCCGACGGTATTTCTGATCATTAACTTTTCTTCCGCCAGTGTACAACGGTTGGATAAGCCGCGCGGAAATTGAATTAATCGTTGAAAAATCGGCGATCGATTGAATCAATTGATTAATCGATTAAATAGCTTCCACCGTATATGCAAAGAATAGCAGTGGTTAATCAATTCTTCAACTAATAATTAAAGTCGAGGAGCACTGTTAATTGCAGTTAATAACAAGGTATCGCTAATTGCAATCCGTGATTAAAGCAGCAATTAAGGAGCAAGGCTCATACTAGGGTAGTTTGTTGAAGGAAATTGGATTTGAAAGAGTTTGTCGAACGCGCTCTGATAACTGCCGGTTGAGCAGCTGTGGTATAATTGGCAGAGGTCTAGGGGAGGAAATGAGTCGAAAATGTTTCGAGTGTTCGAAGTTCATGTGTCTTGAATTTTATTCGAACTTTTTAAGGTCGTTTCAATCCCCTGCTAATTGTGCGAGCTGTATTTAGCCACGAGTCGAGAACACACTGGTATTCGATAAATAAATCTTGATTTTCCTGGAATGCTCTAATTTATATATTTTATAATTATAGTTGATTCGAAATTTCAAGCTTCGATTCATCTGAGATTTAATGTTGAAACCGGAAGAGGGTTGCACGAATGAATTAATGTGCTGTTTATGTGGATTTTCTAAAAATATTTATGAACTTCTAAAATACTGGAATTTAGCCAATATTACGACATGTGTAAATACTGTATCATAGTAACTGACACCCTATTTTATCGCATTGGATGCACTATCAAATCTCACCCACAAAATCTATTTAATATTTTCTCTTGTTATGTCACAGCGTGGAAACATATTTCGATCACCATAACTTTGCATTCGCGTAGGAACGTCGTTCAAACTATTGGTTTTCAAATTGTGATTTTTGTTTAAAAAATTTTCGTTACAAGTTACCTTCACTTGAAATGACATACATACATACAGGAAAAAAGAGCGTTGTTTTAAATATATGCCGTGCGAACGTCGATACGGAAACGCGACCACGGATGTGTGAGAAATTTTGTTCACAATGTTACAGCACACATTTTTACCTGGAGCCTAATGATCGGCGGAAATGCTTCCTCTGTCGTCATTCCCAAATAATAACTGTGTGTTTCGTTTGACAGACTTTGCATATACGTATATTTTCTACGCCCCATACTGAAAACGTAGGTCAGGTGTTATTTATAGCATTGTGTTTTATTCTCATACACGCTTTTGTGCTACATTTGCTTTAGCGGTTTGTATATACCCCTATTTTATTTGAATCACTTGAACCCGCCGAATAACATTTAATTGTCACCAGAAATTCCCGTTCGGTTTCTAATGTTAATTTAATTCTTAAAAGTACGCGTTTCTGGAGCTACAATTAAAATCTGCATTCAATGTGTCCAACCTTCATTAAAAGAATACTTCATACACGCACAATACGCTAATGATCAACGATTCTCAGTGATCAATAACTAAAAACTAAAGAATTTCCTAAATGAACGCATTATAACTTCACAAATATATTTTATTGTGATATGTTTGTTTTAATTATTTTATTTGACCATGGTATCACAGATCGTTTACTAAGAGTACTTATGTGTAATCATTCTCTATGTATTTATATTTACTTATCTTAATTTCATTCACTTACTATGCCTAATTCCACCAAAAGCTTATTGAAAAGCTTGGTGTTAAAGCAGTTACATGATGCCACCACCTTGGAGGAATATAAAGCATTTCTCCAGGTTTTAAATAACTCACAAACCCTGACGATTTTTTGAAATTTGGCCATTGCTCATAGTTTGGATTTAAAGGATCTACTTGAGCAGTATTGTTAAGTAATCGTGTATCATATGGATACAGATTAGGTGAATCTTTTGGATCATATAAGATAACTCTTTTATATCCAAATACCTAAAAAGAATAGAACGATATAAAAAAGCTGATTGTTTTTAATTTATACAAAGCTACTAATTTCCTACCTGGCACAGGAGATTATTTTTCGGATCGAAGTGCAATGGTGAGACAGTTCCACTGGGCCCAAACCATGCATTTATGTCTGGTTGTTCCACTTCATCGTTGTCTGTGAAATTACAATACTCAGGTATTGTAAAATCATCTTTCAATTCTGGAATCTGCAATTATCATTGTAAGATTTTAAAGTTTCTAAATAAATTTACAAAAGTATGTAAAAACCTGTTCAAAAAGTTGATGTTGAGCCAAATATCCAATTTTATCGTGTTTTGATAATATATGATTTTGTAAAAATTCGGAAAACAGAACAAGTTGCTGGGTCCAGTCTTCGTCTGTGTAACGTGATCCAATTTCAATTGGTACCGTTCGATGTCCTGCTACTCTACTTAAATAATTGATATTTTGCCATTGTTCCAAAGCTCTCCAATGATTAATGCAATCTGAAATTAGAAGATACCTAATATCAAAACAAAATTAATGTTTCAACAAATTATTTTAAACGAATATATCAATCACCTTTTAGAAGTGCTGGAATTTTGAGCCTGAAGATTTCTTTGTAGAACAATTCCATTGATGGTTCATTGTATTCACGGATGTTTTTGAATCCAGGAAGAGTAACATCAACTATACTTTCAAAACCGCCAATTAATTCCTTAAGAGATGATGCCTTCAATAATTGTGCTGAAAATATTACAATAAGTAAATATTAATGATTTTATAAGCAACTCATTAAATTAATTTTATTAGTTTAATATAATACTTACAGGCACTACAATTATTTAACTGTGATGCGATTGTTGGTAATAAATCAGGCATATTAAGAAGTGGTGATCCTAATAAAATACCTTTGTCTACTTGTTGGACAATACTTTTTAACAATGTCATGTTATTTGAGAACTTTTTGTCATCATTCTCATGATGTTGAATCTCAAGTAATACAGCCTATTAATTGATAATTTCAATTTATATCTCAATATTTATCGTACAACTTTAACTCTAACTCTAACTATTAAAATACCTTTAAGATAGTACATAATGAATAACAATATCGGTACTCTATTGGAACATACTTCCAATAACCAGCATTTAATATTTCCCACGTTTTGTCCAAACATGCTTCAATTAAGATTAATGAACTGTTTACCCACTTTTTCGATAAATCTCTGTTACAAAAAGAAATATAATTATGCACATATGCCATCATTTGAAAACCATAATTTCAGTAACAAGTGAATTTTTTAAATAATTAATATAGTATGGAACTTTTTCTATCCTATTTTTCAAATGATTTTGTTAGGAATACAAATAGCAGCCGAATGTGTATTCATTATGTATGTAATCTCAAATCTAAAAATGAACTTAATCTCTGACATACGTATATATGAAAAGTCTTTACGTTTCATTTCCACTGAATTCTTTCAGTCTTGTTGCTATTGGCAATAAATGTATTTTCATTTCAATGGGTAAACAATCCTTTACAGTTCCCATTAACTCCCATGGAACAATTCTTGCGACAAACATGTCTTTATACATAATCCAAAGATAACGAAGGTATAATACTAAACAAAAGGTGAAAAATAAAGTTTGTATTAAAATTGGTTTACTCAAATATAAATTGCTTTTTTGTACATAGGTTTGCTTAACGATGGCCATTGAACAAGTAGATAATCAACTATATAATACAAAATTTTCCCACTTAAAGATAATGTGTGCACTCTGCAAAAGCTTTCAATAAATACTATCGTAGTTCGTGTAACGAAAAACACTTTAAATAGAAACATAATGATACACAAAGGGACACAAGTGCCTGGGCCATTGCACAAAAGTAAATCTGGACGTTCTGTCCACAAAAGTGGTATCGACTCTAATGTTGCCCACAACGTAGTATAAATAGATGTAAAATACGACTGTCTAATTTCTCTACTCCGTTGAATCTTTATTATTTTGTAATCTGTATTATCTTTTTCTAAATCCTGCACTTTCTCTACACTTATTACATCTGTATCAGCGTGAACATAGATTCTTGGTGAATAATTCTTAAACTCTAAGTAACTAAGAATTCTTATCATTTCTGCAGTATGTCCACCAGACCCCAATATTATTAATGTTTTCACATTGTTAACGAAAGCAACATGCGTTCGTTTTGTCGTAAATGTCCGAAATATCATGAAACACATTCTCGTGAGAATTGCAACGCAAATAATTGTAAAAGTATAAATACAATATATTGCATACATTTCTCCAATATAACCTGTAAAAATGACAACGAAAGAATGAAGAATAAGATTTCAATAATTAATCCACTGAATCGACCGTTCTTACCCGGTGAAACACTTGTAACGCAGTTAACGCAATGAAGAAATATCAACAATGCAATGGTGAAATATTATCAATGCAGCTTCGAAACGTTCAATCAAATAGATTTTGTCAATTAAATTTGTTTGTCGCACCGCAATTTCAATAATTAATCCACTGAATCGACCGTTCTTACCCGGTGAAACACTTGTGACGCAGTTAACGCAATGACGAAATATCAACAATGCAATGGTGAAATATTAACAATGCAGCTTCGAAACGTTCGATCAAATAGATTTTGTCAATTAAATTTGTTTGTCGCACCGTAATTTTGACGAGAAATATAATTTCTTCATAAGTTACGCACTTAAAATACACTTCAAAGTACAAGAAAGTATTCCGCCTCTTCTCCCATTGGCTGCTGACACACTACTGCGACTGCGCGACTATGGAACTAAATGAATAGCAATGGAGCAGTGGAGCACTCCATCTTCCGCGTGCGCATGCGTACGTAAATACAAATGAATAATTTACCAATAAACTGCGTTTCAAATATTTCCAATACCACGCATGTGGAGACTCTATCCTCATTAATTCAATAAAACATAATACCTCAAAGAAGTGACAATAATGTAATTAAATACAGATTAAAAGCAATTAAAAGTTCACTACTGTGAAAATCCTCTATCTGTGTTAAAATAGATACATATAGATGGGATACTCTACACAGAGCATTTCACGAATATGTAAATTGTACAGCATCATGTGTCATGGCGTGTATGTACATCTTTTACTATACTGTAGGTACTGATTCATAACTTGCTGCACAAGCGTACAAACACATAATATTCCTTTACGGGATAAGTGTGAAATTTTGTTCCTGAAATAATTATCCCGATCCGATGTAAACAAAAGGTGGAAAGAGGAAACCTGTTGTCTTTAATTGACAAATAATTGTACATAGAATTGCAATTGAAACCTTTTCGGGATAACTAAACGTCTCGTGGTGGTAAATATTTGTTTTAGCGGTACGTATTTTTAAAATAATTGAAACGATAGAACAAGTTTTGTTCGATTTTTCAGACAGATTCGTATCGTTAAAGAATCTTTCGTTAACTGTATTATATTTCTGTTACATTTAAGAAAAATTATTATTTAGTAACGTACGTGTAATATATTCATTTGTAAGCAATAACAAAACCAAAAACGTGTCATTTTAGGTTCGTTGTACATGAAGCAGATGAATCATGTGAACGCTTTTTGAGACATTAAAAGTACTACTACTAAGATCTTACATTGTTGATAACAAATTCATAATGACAAAGTTTCTGAAATCGAAATTTGATAACCAATTGGATGCAAATCAAATACTTAAGAAGAAATTGAATTTCGTTAAACATAAGAAGAATTTCTGTAAGTCTAGAAATCATACTAGAACTAATATACTTCAAGAACAGGATGCTATAAGTTTAAATAACAAATTTGTATCGAATGATAACATTATGAACACAAAGAGAAACATAAATGGAGAACCAATACAAGCAGCTATGAGTTTAAGATCAAAACAGAATGAAAATAGTTCAAGTCAGATTCAGTTATCCAGTAACGTCGAGGCTAATTATAGTAAGAATTATAATTGTTTCTCACAATCTGTAGTTTATTCATCAGCACTGAGCACTGATTCATCAAATGACGATACTAGAAAATCTTTAAACTCAAGGCAGACACATTTAAATACTCCAATGAAAAAGCAGAGCAATAGACTTCCACAAAATCGAAATAACCGTAACATAATACATACGCGAATTGAGGAACCATTACTTGGGTTTTCTCAAGAAAAGAAGAATATTACAACTACAAAGAACCTTGAGAGTATGAGAACAGCTCGTATGACTAAGACAAATGAAGATTTAGTACCTTCATATAGACAGCTCAGAAGTAGTTTACCACAAATGGAGCATGCATTTAACCAGAAGAATTTGCAGACTGATAATACTCAATTAAGTGTGCTGACAACTGATTTCTTAAAAACTTACACATCTGAGCTTACACATCTCAAGAATAATTGTGAGAAAAAGACTGACATAACTGTTCCTAATTTCACACATGATAGGACACTGCAAGCCTATGTCAATATAACGAAATATAATGATGATATAAATTCGTTGTCTGAAAAAAAATGTTTAGTGAAGCCATTAGAAAATCGTATGAGAACAAGATCAATGGCACAAGCAGAGAACATAAGCAACCAAACTGACCAGAAATCTCAAAAAATCACATCTGCATTTTCTGCTCAGAGAAAATGGGAAACACCGAACAAAGAAAAACATGTAATCGAACTTAAAGAAGAAACGATAGTCCAACAGAATTTACAGATGACAACACATTTTCATAGTAAATCTGATACATTCTCATGTAATTTGCATGGTAATAATCCTTCCTGTGATAAAGCCATTCAGGGCAACGAAAATCATTCAATATTAAATATAAAACAACAAAAATTACATTGCCTTGTGAGGGAAAATAAACGAAAACCATCATTGGAATTATGTAAAAATCGGAATATTGCGGAAACCATTTTACAGACCAATCTTCAACATTTGGTTAACTCCAACTTAAAGGACGATTGTGATATCTCCATGGAAGTTAACAAGAAAAATGAATGTGAAATTAATAAGTCTATTAAAATCGAAAAGACTAAAACAGATGTCCATAGGAGTATAAAAAAGAAAGAAATAATAAAATCAGAGTGTCATATTGATGTAAAGAAAAAAGGACAGCATCCGTTCAATCCCTCAAACAAATGTAAACACAGTGCTTTTAAAACAATGAAAAAGACATTAGTTTCGACAAAAATAAATAAAAAGAAATTAATAGGATCACTTAAGGACGTCACACAAGCAAGTAATCGTAATATTAAGATAATTAAGAACTTTAAAAATAATAGGGAAT